GTCAGATCTATGATCCTGTTGGTTAGTGCTTTTGCTAGGATCTTGTAGCGGGTCGTGAGAAGTGAGATGGGTTGATAGTTCTTCAAGTCCTCTTTCTCGCCTTTTTTGTGGAGTAACGATACTACGCTTGTGCTCAGATTTTGACCTAGTCCTCCCCGGTCTCTGCTGTCATTGAAGAAATTGAGCAGGTCCTCGCCTAGTGTGGGCCAGAAGTGGACCCATAATTCTTTCGATAGACCATCGATGCCCGGGGCTTTATCGTTGCCCATCTGAGTCAGAGCCGTGTATAGTTCCCCCAATGAGAGTGGTCTATCCAGCCCCTCGGTCTGTTCATGTGTGATTGTCTTCTCCAGGTAGGCCATCATTCGCTGTCGTGCTGCTGAGTTGGCTGAGGGAAGGGGGGAGGGTGTTTTGGATTCGTAGAGTTGTGCGTAGAATGATCTGGCTATTTTCACCATTCCCGATCCCGATTGGTTGATCCTGTACTGATCGTCTGGGTCCTTCAACCCTTCAATGTTGTTATTCCTGGCGTTAGCTTTAATTTTTGCGAAGAAGTGCTTTGTCATGGATTCGTTGAGGGTGTGATCGGTCATCCTGGCTCGGATCTGTAGGCCTCTCAACTCCCATTTCCTCCAGTCGTTTAATTCCTCTCTAGTTGAGTCGAGTAGTTGGGTGTAGAAAGTGTTTGAGGGGTCTGCGACCAGGTTGTCCTTTGCGAGAGCCATGGCGAGTTGGAGTTCTTCTTTTCTGATTTTCCGTTCTTTTGCAATGCTTCTGGATTCCGCTGAGACTGTCTGGGTGAGGTCTGCATAGCTGTCTGTGAACCATTTGTGTCTGTTGTAGAGTCTGGCGTTGTTCTGTCTCATGAAGAACCAGTTCCGTCTGACTGCTTCTGTTAGTCTTTCGGTGGCTAAGAGGGAGTTGTTGAATCTGTAGAAGCCCCGACCTTTCTCCGTGGGGGAGTCAAAGTTCAGGAGCAATTCTATTGGCTTGTGGTCTAGACCCCGGAAGGCCGCTGGTGGGCGGATCTCAGCCTGTTTGATTGTACCTTGGATGCTTGGAGATTAAGAAGAAGTCAAACCGGGATAGTGACGTTTGGTTGGCCTGATCTTTTTTTACCAGTGAGAAGGCCTTTTTCTCTGGGTGTGGCATTCTGAAGGGGTCGATGAGGTCGAATTCTGTCATGATATTTCTTATTTGGGTTCCTGCTCTTGTTGGGCCTATCAGTTCGGAGCGAGAGATGCGGTCTAGGTTTGGATCCGAGGTTGTGTTCCAGTCGCCTGCGATGATCACCGCTTGGGGGTTTGGGATGAGGGGCTGGATTTTGCTAAAGAATGCTAGACGTTCATTTTATGGGTTGGGGGCGTAGATGTTCAGGATTCTTAGTTCCTCGTCTTGCCATCTGATGTCTATCCATGACCATCTACCCTCCGTGTTGTCTCCCTCATTGTTGAGAATCTTCCCTTCTGACCATAGCTTGGAAGCCTTGGGTACTAGTATGGTTGTCCCCCGTTTGCTGAGCCCTTCGAGGTTAGACCATAATGCAAAGGCACACCCTCCCAAGCTTTTTTCTATTGTCCTTTTTATGTTCCTGTGGGTTGGCAGGTTGGACAGGTGCGTTTCTTGGAGTAGTACCACATCTGGTCTGGGTCTGTTTCTGTCGTAGAGTCCTAATCGGATATCCCTTGATTTATCTTCCTCCAACAATGCATTACCCAACCCATTGACGTTCCAACTGATTATTTTGAGTCCTTTGGCTTGCCAATGTGTCGTGATAGTGTTGTCTTGTGATGTGTCGTCGTCCATGGATTGTCTTTGCATCCTAGACTGTTAAGCCTATTTTATATATTAATTCTTTGTTGTTCTCTGTGGTGATGTTGATTCCTGTTTGTTGTTGTGGGGGAGTCAGTTGTCATACTATTGATTATTGTTACTAACTTACTAGTAACTACTAATATGCGTAACGGGTGAAATGGATCCGTGCCACCGCACATGCGACCAGATGACAGAGTGAACAAAAGTTATCAACAGAGTGAATAAAGTTTCTCTCTGTTTTTATTCCTTTTGACAT